TCAGGGCCTTGAATGTCTGCACCCTCCGTCAAACTAGTTAACAGGCTTCATTGGCCAAGACTCTAGCAACTCGGGCCATGTATATTTGCTGTGTTTGTGAGACTCGCATACAGGACCCATGTACGGTTATTCACCTAATCTCTCCCGACCAGTCTCGTGAATCCAAATTCCCCTTATGGCAATGTGTCTGTCTGAAAGGCGTGCAGAGTATTTACATCACCTTATTGAAGACTCTCTACTCGAGCACTTGTGGGCATGTTGGAGCCTATGATGAGGGTATCTGGGGAGCTGTACTCGTCAAGCCGTGTCCGTCAAAGCCGCTCACTCTCTCCATTCTCATACAATTTAATCACAGGTATTGTTATGGAGGTCTCCCTCTCGCCGCCTGACTACACGGAGGTTGATCTGATCGAGGGGGAATCGTCATTAGACCTAGAATATGCAGATGACATAGTCCAGTTGGGTGAAGACGTTGACAAGATACAGTCTTCCGAACACTTTGAGCGGCAATTTAAGAATGTTTGGGATGCGTTTCTCACCACCCAAATAAAAATTGTTGCTCCAGGATGGGTCTTCAACGGTCCCTCGGCTAACAATAGAGAGTGTAGTGGTTGAGTGTGTCGACCACTTCACCTACCTGGGAAGTATGATCAGCCCTGGTGGCTCAGTGGCCGACGGAATTTCTGCATGGATACAAAAGGCTTGGCTGGCTTTTGCCAACTTACGCCACCTGTGGTGCCGCCGTGATATCCGATTGTTTATTAAGGGTCGCGTGTACTGCACAGCAGTCCGCTCTGTCCTACTGTATGGCTGTGAAACATGGTCACTAAAGGTAGATATGAATGCTGCTGCCTTCATAGTATAGGCCGTGTTTCTTGGCATCAACACGGGGAGTAACGCAGAAGTCAGGTGTAGTATTAGGGAGAAGAGGTAAATCAGTTGACGAGATTGTGAACCTTCATCGACTGAAATGGTTGGAACATGTGTTACGCACGCCTAGCCACCGACTGCCTCGTCACACAATGTTGGCCGAAGTAGGTTCAGGCTGGAAAAAGGCACGAGGCGACCAGACCAAAACATGGCATCAATGTATGAAGTCTTTGACTGTTAGTTTGGGTCATGTGGGGCGATGCATACTAGCCGGTTGGGGTCTGTGGGACAAGAGAAACCTGTGGTTGGAGACTTCAGGTGATATGGCTCAGAACCGATATCATGAGCGGAGGTGTATATACACAGTATCCTCATTTGAACCCCTATGCCTAATCTAACCGTTTTCTCATTCTTCCTTTCTCCGTTTTCGTACTTTATATTTCTTCTGGCTGAATTCTGTTTTCTTCGTCTTGTGCTTCACTGCTTTTTTACGTGATATACTGATATTAGCTGTCGCAACTCCGAACGTTACTCTGTAATGTATGGTACTGTGGTACTATGTTGAGTTGAATGGATGTATTCTTGTCCGACATTAAAATTTTGATATTTTAATTTGTGATCTTGTCTATTGCTGATTGCTGCAGTCTATGGAATTCCTCCTTCTCGTGATCTGCATTATTTGTAGGTGCGTAGCGTACCATTGTATGGTTATAACTGTCCTTTTTGGTTTGATTCTTGCTGTTATAATCTTGGTTCCCACTGCATAAGGGTCTTCATTGCTCTTGGGGACATCATGATTGCCACTCCGGAACTCAGTGTGCTCGTGGTTGTCGTCTCGGTGACTATGTCGGAGTCGATTATTGACTCTCCAGTTGACAGTTTGGAGAGTCCACTTCCATTCCATCTAGTTTCGCAGATTCCCAACACTTCTGTGCCATACCTTCACATCTCTTTTGCAATCTGGGTTGCCTTGCCAGCCAGCTCCAAAGGTTGTGCGGACATTGCATGTCCCCATGTGTGGTTTCGCTTTGATCGAGAGAAGACACATCGGCCGAATGACTTCCCGAAGACTTTCACCAGCCGGCGTCATTTTGTCTTCTCTATTCCAGCGAGTAATAAGTTTATTTTATTTTTTATATTGTTATGTACTTTAAGTTTCTTTAGCGATTGAAGTTGTTTTTCTGGGTAAGGTTGCTATCCGTATGCCCAACCTTCCCCGTTTGTCCGGTTTTAGGACCAGCTTTTAGACTACTGAACTAGTAGCGTAGGCGAGGTTGCCATGGCCTATTAGTGTGTGTGTGTGAATGTATTTTCTTTACGACAAGTTACTGAGTATTAATGTATTGCCAGTGTGATTTATCACTCAGACTTAGATCCTTCTTTTGCCGTCGGTTCCCATCATTCAGGTAGTCAAAATCTGAGTTAAAAACAACTGTTTTCATTATTCTCATTACACGAATTACTCTGCATGCATAAAAGGTGCAGAACTTTATTTATATGCATGCAGGGTGCTATTTCACATTGTTTTCTCACCTTCGAATCAGTTTTACTGTTCCTAGTAAATTATATCTCTGCTTCAAAATGTTCGACAATAGCTTTCGATTTTCTCGAAAATGGCAGTTACTGTAAAATGATTTGTCGTCGAGATTTTTCGATATTTTACACCACGCTGTTATAATATGTTATGCTTTTTTGTAGGGGATAATGAGATCAGTCAACTGAATCTAATCATTAATCTGTGTGGATCGATAACACCTGAAATATGGCCAGGTGTGGAACGCTTAGAAACATTCGAGAAGCTCGTTTGCCACAGGACATCAAACGTCATGTTCGCGAAAAATTAACTCCTAAAATTTCCTCCCTTGCCGCAGTGGATCTTATTGATCAGTTACTTGTCTTAGATCCAAGCAAACGCCTTGATGCTGAACAAGCACTTTCACACGACTATTTTTATGAAGACCCTCCTGTAGGGGATTTAAGATCATTTTCTAAATCTGGAACATCATATCTTGAGTTTTTGTCATCCAGCAATGCTCGTGGTCGAACGGTACAAGGTGCGAATCGTGTTGGAATGGTGCGTGGTCAAGTTGTCGGTCCAGGTCAGCAAATAAACTACCTTAATGGGCCTGCCATCGTGCATGTAAATCGTCGTCCTCATTTGCCTGATGACAACTCTTATTATGAACGTGTTTTCTAGTTGGGTACGCTTGTACGATAGTTGAAATCTTCGACTCTTATGTGTAAATACTTTTTCTTTAGCCTTTGTTTTATTTTTGATCTTTTGCTTGTCTTGAGCTTTTCAATTGTTTCTGTTCACATTAATGATCATGCCATGAAATTATAATGCCATACTAAGCGACTCAGTCAGTGTTTTATGCTAAAGAATTTAACTTCAACGAAGTCCTTACATTGTTTAAGCGAATAACCAGCTGTCCATGCATCAATCTGAAACAAATTATTTAACTTCCATAACAAAAGCCTCGAGTTCTCCACAATTCGCAATAATATAAAAAACTACACCAACTAAAAAGGCACTTAGGCATAGAAATTACCGGGTAACTCGTTGATTATCATGAAGAAGCTAACATGAAAAATCGGCATGACTCCAAATTCAAACTACGAGAGTTTCTGCACCTCTGGTGTGTTTTATGTCGCTCGTGAACTATGGTATAAGATCAAGGTGACGTATTGATCAGACTTTGCATTAAGGTTATAAGTTGAAGGTTTATGATCGGTGTAGACCGTAAATGTTTTTCCTACTTTCTGGCATGTGACGGAAGTGTCTGGTGGCTAAATAGATTGTCAGCAACTCCCAACCAAACGTTGAGTATAGAGTTTTGGGTGAAGAAAGTCGTTTTGAAGAGAACGCTACTGGTTGCCAGTGATTTTCCATCAAGTGATTGATTGGGATATATACCGGCCCCGCATACTCACGGGTTTCAACTGGTCTGGAGTTAGACATCTGAAGTCTCAGTTGATTGACATATGTTGCCTGATCGATTTAGTTGGTTTCCCGCTATGGGGTTGATAAATTCACCGGAAAGACTTCAGGTTGTGCCGAAAACGAATTATAAGGCAGTCTTGATTGCTTTTGCATTTGTAACATTACCATGAGTAGATACTCTGTTTTCGAGTGAGTTGGGTTGCTGTGTGATATGCTGTTCAACGAATTCTCTGCAAACCAAGGAACTTGGCTAAGTTATTAAACAGTTGTGATTCAAATTGTGCCCCTCTGTCAGTGGTGATTGTTACGGGGACACTAAATATGAACAGTCAGTGTTGCAGAAAGGCTTTTGCCACTGTTTCTGCAGTAATATCTACAAGTGGAATTGCTGCTGGGAGCCTGGTGTATCTATCAATACGTGTGAATAAGTGGGTGAACCCGCTGGACTACTGAATCGACATGTACATGTGTAAAACGTTCATCGTGTTGGGCAAACGTGCCTACAGGCGGGACTGCATATGGGTTTACCTTGACTTGTTGACACGCCGTACATCCCTTAACCGAATTTCAGGTACGGCGTTGTAAATTAGGTCAAATATATCTATCAGAAATAAGTTCGATGGAGGCTTTCGTCCCGGGATGTGAAATTAACTGAAAGTTATTGGAGACTAGTTTTCTTTCTCATGCTTCCAGTCACGAAGGGTCTAGGTGAGTCTTTTGTCATGTCACACTAAATGAGCTAGTCCTCAATGGGTGAAGTAACTATCTACGTTTCAAGCCGCAGCGGTAACTAGAAAGTGAGTCTCAACTCTTCACCATCGAACCCTCGATAAGCATCATCGTGGTTAACATAGGACCAGGCGTTATTTTGTAACGGTCCAGGTTGCCGCACGTTTGATCGACACCTCAGATAATATGGCAATAAAACGGAAGATGAATAAGTAAATTGAAATCGATCATAGGAATTAGAAGTAGATGTTAGTAAAAGTAAAAGAGAGGAAGGAAGAATGAGATGGTGAGATTGATAGCAGCGGTTAAGATGAGGATAATATGCGTATGCATCTGCGCCACTAATATCGGTTCTGAGCCATATCACCTGAAGTCTCCAACCACAGGTTTCTCTTGTCCCACAGACCCCAACCGGCTAGTATGCATCGCCCCACATGACCCAAACTAACAGTCAAAGACTTCATACATTGATGCCATGTTTTGGTCTGGTCGCCTCGTGCCTTTTTCCAGCCTGAACCTACTTCGGCCAACATTGTGTGACGAGGCAGTCGGTGGCTAGGCGTGCGTAACACATGTTCCAACCATTTCAGTCGATGAAGGTTCACAATCTCGTCAACTGATTTACCTCTTCTCCCTAATACTACACCTGACTTCTGCGTTACTCCCGTGTTGATGCCAAGAAACACGGCCTATACTATGAAGGCAGCAGCATTCATATCTACCTTTAGTGACCATGTTTCACAGCCATACAGTAGGACAGAGCGGACTGCTGTGCAGTACACGCGACCCTTAATAAACAATCGGATATCGCGGCAGCGCATTGGCGAGTTTCACTGTTGCTTTTAGCTCTCACTGTGCCGTTCAGTGCATAGGTGACTGTCAAGTGCTATCTGGTCTAGAAATGAGCTTTCTTCCCTAGTGCCTAATGCTATGCCTACACATGCAAGACTGCGAAAGCTAGCCATCGTATCTCCAGAACTCGTAGGGTGAATTTTGGGGATTCACCAGGTTGGCCCGGAGAAGTTGCATGAATAACTTGGGTCCTGTATGCGTGTCTCGCAATCAGCACACCTCCATGTTCCGAATTGCTAGAGTTTTTTTTATTGTAGCTTGTTGGTCAATGTGACGGAGACTGCGGACATTGAAGGCTCGAATGTACAATTTGGAACGTGGTTTAAAGAGGTGAGTGATGCTGTTCTGTGTATTTAGAGCGTTGTCGAGGGCTGCAAAGCTAGAAGAAAATAAAGATAATGTAGGGATGTTAGCTGAGAGACGTGAAGGAAGAAAAGGATGGGAGAGGTGGGTAGTGGTGTGAGGTAACTTGAGCGCTGACAAAGTTGTGAGGGCGTTTGACACTTATCGACTGCCAACACCCTGGAAGGCTAGATCTTAGGGTGCCTGAAAAGGAAAGGTTGGTGCGTGATCGCAGAGCCCAAGGGACATCTGCTAGAGACCGGTCACGTATGGTATTTTTGATGCCGCGAAAATTGCCATGTATTATGGAAGGTGTGGTAGAATAGACATCCTGTGATTTTGGATCACCACTGATGACTGATCTAAGCCACCATAATGGGCTTTTTTATTGTTAAGGAACATATTAACGCTAAGGTAAGTGCTTTTTGTCGAATCACTATCCAACATACATTTCTGGTTAGGTAAGACCTCGAGGCAAGAAGCACAGGTCGTTGAGTGATGACGGGAAAAAAGCTCGAAGACTACGTCAAGGCAGAGGCTATCGGTCAGGCTGCGTAAACAGCTAAAGCCTTGAATTCCATAGTAGATTGGTGACTAGTGTTCATGTTAATTCTAGAAAGAGCGCCAGACACGCAATTTTGTGCACTTCTGGCGTGTTTTATGTCGCTCGTGAACTATGGTATAAGATCAAGGTGACGTATTGATCAGACTTTGCATTAAGGTTATAAGTTGAAGGTTTATGATCGGTGTAGACCGTAAATGTTTTTCCTACTTTCTGGCATGTGACGGAAGTGTCTGGTGGCTAAATAGATTGTCAGCAACTCCCAACCAAACGTTGAGTATAGAGTTTTGGGTGAAGAAAGTCGTTTTGAAGAGAACGCTACTGGTTGCCAGTGATTTTCCATCAAGTGATTGATTGGGATATATACCGGCCCCGCATACTCACGGGTTTCAACTGGTCTGGAGTTAGACATCTGAAGTCTCAGTTGATTGACATATGTTGCCTGATCGATTTAGTTGGTTTCCCGCTATGGGGTTGATAAATTCACCGGAAAGACTTCAGGTTGTGCCGAAAACGAATTATAAGGCAGTCCTGATTTCTGTTCACTTTCTTTGCATTGTGGCTTTGTTTTGCTGCTTTTTGTTGTCTTAATAATTTTGATTTCTGGCAGGTTCTTTGTTTTTTAATTGAGGATTTGTAATGGCTTTCTGTTTGACATTCCATTCTTTCCGCTCTCTCACACGTCGCTATAGCTGATTTCTTTAATGATATTTACTGTTTTTTTGTCGCGGGAATCTGCTTGTTTTGCATTTAACGCTGAATATTTCTTGACGCATTCGTTCTTTTGTCATTTTCGACTTTTTTGTGACTGTTTTTCCTCAGGGTATAAATATTTTTTCGGTTGGCTGATATCCTGTAGCGGAAGGTTTGTTCTTCTTGACTGTGTTGTTTGTTTTTTCTTTACCTGAACCTTCATCACATTTTTAGTCTGATTACATATATGCCCTTTTCGGCATAGCGCATTCTTGTGTCTGTTAAGAAAATGTAGTAATTAAAAAGGTCCATGATCATTTGAAGATATCTGAACGACGTTGGGATTTGATGGTTTGGAAAACGTTCGGGTGATGGTTAAATCATTTTCGTTGTTTTCCAGTTAATCGAATTCAAAAGAAATTTGTTATGTTTTATATTTATTGGGAAAAACAAGTCGGAAAGTATGAGACAATAATTTTTTTAGAGGTAAGCATATCTCGATAAGACATTTCATACACAAAAGATTGAGAAGTGATAATGTTTACAATATACTCGTTGTTACCAGGATAGTGAAAATAATTAGACACCAGAAGAGAATAATTATATATATATATATATATGTATATATATATATATATATATATATATATATATATATATATATATAAGATTCTATTAAGAGTTGGAAAAGAATACGTTACTACTTTAGCCCTCCAAATTGACTCGTCTCATTAATTAGTCATGTAAATTAAGGCTGTTTTACCATATTTTGGATGGATAATATCCTAGCCCTAGCCCATGGTTAATTTTTAATATTTCTCATTTAGTAGAAAATAACTTTCAAGCCATACAAAAGAAGCTTGAAAATAGTACAAGATACATATATCAAAGTTATTATATTGATGGAACCAGTTAGTAACAATGTATAAAAGTATTTAATTTTATTTATCTATTTACGTATGTTATAATATTAACAAAAAGAATTTTGGGTTAGAGGATGAAATTGATTGGTTAGAGCAAACTATGAATGCTGAGATAAAATTAAGAGAGTAAAATTAGTAGGAAGAGAACGTGAAGAGCCCTTACAGTTATTTCAAACACTTATTGTTACATTGTACTGAAACGAGGAAAAAAAAATTTAGTAGGCTGTGTTAAGCAGACAAAGTTGACTGCAGAGAGGCCGTTTGAGATACTGGTTAGCATTTACACGTATGTGTGCGTGTGTGTGTGTGACAAAAGGGAAGGGAACAGAAATTTATCAAATTATTGTACAACTTCGACAACATTTGTTACTAATTAAAGTTTGAGGATATTCACCTGATCTTTCTGCATCAATATACTGTGGTATTGGTAAGTCAGAGGAACAGGGCTTCTGGTAAAGAAAATTTGTGTGATCAATATACACTTCTCTGTTGGTAAGATACGGAGTGTCGTTTCCAGGATTGGGTGAGCTGATTGAACCCGCATGACTTCGTTTATCAATAATTGCTGCTCGTCCATCAATTGAATTACTTTGTTGTTTATATAAATCAGTTGGTAGGATCTCTGTTTCATGATGACGGGAAGCGATACCTTGATTATTGTGACGATTTATTTGGGAGTGAGCCTAGATATGGATAGGAAACATGAAAAAAGTTGAGGAAAGTGAGATTTTACAATAAGTCTATTTTTTGAATGTCGAGGGAATGAATGATAATCAGTGTATTCTTTGTCAAATGAAATTCGATGAATCTGAATAAGTGTAATTCGTTGTACAGATATTGCACATTTAACTTATTTCTGCACTATCTAGTGACTCTTTTTTTGGTTCGGTCAAGTGGCTCAGTAACCCTTTTTTCATGTAGACCATATTTCAAATACAAAACCGAGTAATACTGTATGACATGAATTCTTGGTCCTGAGATATCAAGTGTATAAAAAATTATTATACTTCTTACGATATATACTTTGTCTAATTCTGCAATATATTCGTCCTGATGGCGAAACATCAAGAAATGACAGAAATCTGTCTTCCTACATTTTACAGGTGAATGCGATTTCTGGATGATCTTTGTTGAATTTGTCGAGAAGGACGTCAGCATCAGTATCATTTTTGTACAGAATGAACATGCCACCCAATAGATATGCAATAGAAGGACAGTTTATCTATCATGCTACTCAAAAGTCCACTTTCTAACTTTGCCATAAATCTAATTCCCTCTCATGGCCTTCAACTTTAACCCAAGTAGAGTTAGAACAATTTCCTTCTTGGTCACTCGGATAGTTGTAAATATAATCTTTGTTGACATTCTCATCATTAACATCCTGTTTACACTCCGTCTTAATTTCAGTTTTAAATTTTGTCCTGTTTCACAACTGATTAAGAATTTAAACATTTTACTGGGCTATTGCTGTGCGATAATAAATTACTCCCCTCTATTCCCCCCACACACAGTCCAATCCCGCATCCACAATGACTGACTACTGAGATTATACAAACTTTGCGAAGTCTCGTCATTTCCATTATCATCTAATTTCATATATCCGAATTCTACTTACCACACTGGTTTCAAATGATCATGCTGAATAATTTGCATTTATTATTATTAAATTACTATTTACAGTTGTATTTCTTATAGTCACTTCGAAATGCGATTGTGTTCGCTGTAACTAAGTAACTAGATAACGCTATTTGTTAGATGACGTAAATAAGGTTGATATGAGTCTTACAGTCTTTTTTTCAATCCGCAATTTGTAAGGCAGGGAACTTTTTTCGCTTACAAATGTGGCTTTTTGTTTATATGTTTTTAGACAAACTGTAAGAGACAGAGAAATGATATAGAAATTCCGTTTTTTTTGTGTACTCCTAAATCAAGCTCAGTGATGCACAAAATTTGTTATACGTGGCTTGTTGACTTTTCCGAGTGAAAGTATGTAAATATGAGACAACTGTTGAAATATTTATGTTAAGATGATGAACTCGCAAGGAGGAAGTGAATTATTGTAAGTTAAATCACATCTCAGTTGAAATATGTTTCGAAATTTCATTGTTTTGTACGAATGAAATGTCATCTGTGAGATTGATAGAAGCTTTTTAGCTATTGAATTCTCTTATTAAGTGGGAGGGTTTGTCTTTTGATAAGCAAAAGACGGTAACGTAATCCACCCGTTAGTCGCCTCAGCAATACCTTCCAGTACACATTGTTATACTCAGATAATGACGATAAAGTCATTACAGCTACATTAAGGGGCCTAGTAAGGATACCGGTGTCAACGTTTTACTTTCTGATAATAATAATCGCTTCATTCCAAACAGTATGTTCTATACAGTATGGGATTCTCTGCAAGTTCACTCCAAAAACAATATATTCAGACATAATGCTTACTGCATCCGAATGACGTTAATAATAGCAATATTAAAGGCTATAATGTTGAACAGTCTTCTGGAGTTCGATTAACTTCAGATCTAAAATGCAGGATGCACAGAAAATCGAAAGCTCGCGTACGTAACTAGTTACTAGCGGGCACTAAGCCCGCATAAAAGAGAAAGGGTTGGGCATGGGGTTAGCAACCATATTCCGTAAACCTCTCTCACAGCTGAAGAAACTTCAAAGCAAAACAAAAATATAAAACATAAAATTGAAGTTATTCCACGCTCGGATCAAATAGGCGGAACGACGATCGGTTCCTAGTGGAACATGGCTCTTCAGTTGCACGTCGCCATTCCACTCTGTTCTTTGCAGTCTTTTTAAACTGGCTCCACCACTTCCCAGAAGCCTTCATTTCTTCCTCACATGATCTCCTCCATGTCACCTTCACCTCGGATGCCCAACTCGTTGTTTCCCCCTTTACATTCCACTCGAACGCCTAGCCTGACGTGTGATGTCCCCAAATGGTCTCCTCAGTGTATGCACAATCCAACTCATCTCCACTTTCTTCTACATATTTGTTGGGTGATGGGTTCTTGGTTGGTTCGTCGCCAGCCAGAGTTCCTTGTTGTTTATTCTTTCTGGCCATCTGATCTTCACTGTCAGTATCGAGTGAGCGTGGGCTGTAGCTGTTGATGTATGTCTGTAGTTTGTTGGAAATGCTTTCGTGATGCGCCGAGTTTCTGAACCATATAGTAGCACTGGCTTGACTGGATTAGTGTTGAAAATCCGGATCTTGTTGACGCTTTGTGCTGAGTGTAGTGGAGTGCAGTGGATCTCCACACTGACTTCGGATTAAGGAAGACCTGTCTTGCCTTCGCGATCCTGGTTTTGACATCCTCATCTGTGTCGCCTGTAGTTGAGACGATTTTGTCTAGGTAGGTGAAAGAGGCAACTTCCTTTAGGTTTCTCCCTTTGATTGTGATTGGTGCTTGTTGTTGGTTGAGTCTTTTCATCACCTCTGTCTTCTCTTCGCTCACTTGAAATCCCGTATTCGCTACATCGCCTCTTCTGTCAACTTGTTAGTTAGCGCCTGTAGATCTTCGAGTTTGTGCGACATTAGACATAAACCATGACCGACGAAACCCCAATCTTCCAGTGTCTTGTCATCGTTCCAGTCAGCGTATGCCCCTTTTCTCGCTCTTCACAGTTTGCTGCATGATCCAGTCCAGCAGACCACGATCCGGAAGATCATAGGTGATAGATAGTAGGCGGCAACCTTGTCTTACTTCTGTCTTCACTTCAAAGGCGCCACTCAGCATTTCATTGTGGATCACTTGGCATGTGGCATCATCTCGTCATATAGCTGCTGTTGGATGAGGTTGATAAATGTTTGTCTCACTGAAACCGTAGTGTTGAAACAGCTGGCAAATTACTTGTCGGTTGACGCTGTCGAAGGCCTTTTCAAAATCGATGAAGTTGAGGTAGAGTTGAGTTGACTGCCATTCTATGCTTTGTTCAATGATGATGCGTAGGGTTGCAATTTGATCGGCACATGATTTGTTTTTCCTGAGGCCAGCCAGCCAGCCAGCCATCCTGTTCCGGTCGTAATTTTGAATGCAGAGCATTTGTAGTCTCTCCAGGATGATGTGGCTTAATATTTTGCTTGGTGTGGACAACAGCATGATTCCACGCCAGTTCTTGCAAACACTTGAGTCTCTCTTCTTTGGGAGTTGGACAAGGTAGTCCTTCTTCCAAACAACCGGTAGGTACTTTCCCTTCCTTCCATGCAAACCTTCTGCAGTAGTGGTGTCAGCATGTCCGCTGCTGATGTCTTTGTGCCTGTCTTCAGTGCTTCTGGAGGAATTCCATCTGGTCCTGCTGCTTTCCCGGGTTTCAGCAGTGTTATGGTGTTCAGGACTTCTGATTTTGTCGGAGGGCCTGTGTTCACTGGTAGTTCAGTGACCGGGCTGCTGGTGGTATTTCTGGACGAGTTGCAGGTGGTGTTGGTGATGGTCGATTCGAGAGTTTTTTGAAGTCGTCAACTCATTGTTTCCTTTGTTTCTCCTCTTTGGTGGTACCTTAGTTTCCTTCACTATCTTTCATTGATTTCATCTGCATTGATCTCTTCCCAGGAAGTCACCTGGTTATTTGAAATAGTGTTGTCAGATCTCTCCTAGCAGCAGCCTGTTATGCTTCACCTGCCAGTGTATCGTAGAAGTATCTTTTGTCTTTCCGCACTTCTTTGTCCAGTGTTTAATAGGTTGTATTCAGTTCCACGTTTCGTTGTTCATCCTTGTACTGCACTGGTTCATCTTCTGCTTCACCATCTTCCTCTCCCTACACTATCAGCTTCCATGTGTCCGTCGAGATCCATTCCTTGTCTTGTTTCTTATTCCTTCGTGACAAGGTTATGTAGGTTTCGTTTCATGTCGCTTCCACACAGTTTCAGTGCTCTTCCACGCAGGTTTACTTGGGGGTGTTGCTTAATGTCTCATTTTGTCCTGAGGACTGACGTGAATATGTTCTTTGAAGTCTCCTCCTTCAGTTTCTGTTCCGGGCGTTGAGCTTGGACTGTGGTCGTCTATTACCAGCTTGTTTGAAGGCTTTCAACTTGATTTGTGAGGTTCCTTGCACTAGATGGTGAGTGGTGTGAACCTGCATCTGCTCCTCTTCATGATCTTGTGTCCAGTAGGCTGGCTGCGTCTCCACTTTCTTCAGATTGAAATTAAATCGATCTGGTTTTTAGTCTGTCCATCTGGTGAAATCCATATCGCTTTGTGAATATCCAATCACCTCTAGTCACGGAATCGCTGAGTAAGCAGATTTCTGCAAACAGTTCTCCGTTCTCGTTCATTTCACCGAGTGATTCTCGACCGATGATGAGTTCTCTTCCTGTGTTGTCTGCTCCGAGTTTCGCATTCATGTCACTCCAACCATTAGAATTTTGATGTTGCCAACTGGAGTGGGGTCTTGTCCATTACCGATAGCACTTGTCTATAGAATTCCTCCTTCTTCTCTTCATCTGCATTATTTGTAGGTGCGTAGCGTAGCATTGTATGATTATGACTTTCCTTCCTTTCGATTTGAACCCTGAGGTCATGACCCTGGAGGAGATTGGTTCCCACTGAATGAGGGTCTTCAATGCTCTTGGAGACATCATGATAGCCACTCCGGAACTCAGTGTGCTCGTGGTTGTCGTCTCGGTGACTATGTCGGAGTCGATTATTGACTCTCCAGTTGACAGTTTGGAGAGTCCACTTCCATTCCATCTAGTTTCGCAGATTCCCAACACTTCTGTGCCATACCTTCACATCTCTTTTGCAATCTGGGTTGCCTTGCCAGCCAGCTCCAAAGGTTGTGCGGACATTGCATGTCCCCATGTGTGGTTTCGCTTTGATCGAGAGAAGACACATCGGCCGAATGACTTCCCGAAGACTTTCACCAGCCGGCGTCATTTTGTCTTCTCTATTCCAGCGAGTAATAAGTTTATTTTTATTTTTTATATTGTTATGTTTTTTAAGTGTCTTCGTTTTGCTTTTTGCTTTATGATGTGTTAGCTGAAAACAGTTTAAAAATATAGAAGAGAGCATGACACGCTTATGAGACATAGTGAAATGATGAAAAGAAATTGTAAGCAAAGATTTAGAGAAATATGTTTGATGGACATTTCTCAATGCGCAGTATTCAAGCAGGGCGCCAGATGAGAGGTAGTCTGTGATATTTTTAAGGGAACAGTCGCCATATTTTACTACCCTCTGTGCCTTTTTTCTTACTGTTTATACCTCGTTTCATTTAATTTCAATTTTATTGGAGCCAAATCTTTTTCTGACTTCATAGTGGTGTTTATAATGTGTTGTAATGATGGGCAGCGGCTGGCAGGGGAACGCAGGATGCGCATTTCGTCCTGTTTGGGACTTGTCAGCTGGATTTACCGGTCATCTAGTGAGTGATGTTGTTCCTACGGAGATCCCAAGTCGACAGCGATCGCCTGAAACGACACCGCGTTATCCACTAGACGAGCGAGTCACGATAGCCACTTCTTGTGTGATGGGTATACTTTCAGCGTTATTTCTTGTAATATACGGTGGTTGATTCGACCGAATTGATCGGTCTGCATTGGCATATGTGCTCATGAGCGAATGCCTCGATATTGCCTGTGTTTTAATTATGTATAGTAATGATGAGCAGTAGCTAGCAGTGGAATCCACAGGCAATATCGAGGAGCCCATATGCCAACAGGGACTGATCAATTCGGTCCAATCAATGACGATGTAATACAAGCAATAACACTAAAAGTATACCCGTCACACAAGAAGTGGCTATCGTGGCTCGGTGAGGTTCGTAATGTTGATATAATTACCAGTTCACATATCTATTAAGCTTTAACTAGCTGAGAAGTACTTACCACTTTGGCTGTGACAAATCCAACTGTCATTGTGAAAGTTCTTAGGTGATAGGAGTCATTCATAACGAAGACCAGAACTTAGGTTCCGTGCTTACTGGAACTCATCATCAAAATGTATCGGTGACCATAAGGAAATTAGTATTCTCTTGTTTATTCGAACTTGGATGAGTTGATAATGAAGTCAGAGGGCTTGATCCTTAGGCTTTTCGAGCCATGACTGACTCCTGTAGGACTGAATTATGTGCACCCATTGGCAACCAGTGGATCACTTAAGAACTAAGTGAGATAGCTTAGATTTGCAAGTGTGTGAATTTGCAACGAAACTAGATATGCAACAATTTCGAGATCAATGGCTTCCTTATAATCTACAGAATGATTGTTCATTTTTTTCCCTTTGCAGGAATGGAATTTGTTAGAAACTGTTCAGTTCCTGGAGAAGTTTCACTTATGAACTTCTTACTTTATAAACGGGAACTAGTAGCAACTCTCTACATAAAACCTTAGATTTTTGTATAGAGATAGGTCTGTGTTCAAGTAAATGCATTTTTTGTACTATAGAAGTTTTTGAACAGTATGTGTTTTTCTGACAATACATGAAGTCTATTTCTACTGTAGTTAACCAAGTCAAAATTGGAACAATGCAAATTCAAGGGGACTGTAAAAAACCATTGAGTTGTACTAAATGGTAGAGAATCAGCTGGCGGCAAAATTAGTCGGTTAACAGTATTTTTAGAAGTTGGAAGTTCTTCCTTTTTTGAAAGTATTGAATACTTAACTGCACTGCTCCTGTATCAAATTGCAGATCATGCGTCCAACGGCACCTTCGAATCAATATTTTGTGATGTTCAGTCAAGAAAGTGCTCTATATAAACTATGAGGAAGCTCTTTATTCTGATACAAGAGAATTGTTTCACTGGAATACGACTTAATATTATTTTTCTCCTTATTATTCCTTTTAATTATTTCGTTAAAGTTTTAGTGTTGTAGTCACTTTATATCTAAATGATAAAATGTACTTGGTGGCGTCAAGCAGTGGAAAATAGTGTGTTTCAGCCTTTTTAAGACGCATCAGCTTGATGTGCTCACAAAGCAATCCGTGGTATTTTTAGTTAAACTCGAGCTGAGCACCCATCACTTCTTCAGGAAACTATCACTCACTGACGTGCAGATGTATCCATCTGATGAGCACAAGGTAGGACGAAACATGCACTCTGGATTCCACTGCTAGCTATTACCAAGCAAATAACATCATAGTAAATTTTGTGGTAGTACAGACGTAACAGATATACCAGCGAGGACTGATCAGTGCAATTCAGTGTAATAATTAACAGGAAAATAAAAGTACCAACCAATAATATCAAATTATTGTTTACAGCAGAAAATTGAATTAACTCCATTTAAGATTTTTCGAGAATGACTTTCAAAGCCGTATCATGAGCCGATTCCTAGCAGCAATGATTAAAAGAATTAGGGAAGTTGTTGTGTTAACAATACATGAGTATGAATACAGTTCTCTTAATGATGTGATGCAAAATGGTTTCTCAGTGTGATCATGTTCAGAAAAACCTGAGGGATTTTACCGAATACAAGTGTAAAACTTGTGCATTATGGTAGAATGTAATTGCACATTAGATTTTTTTTACAGTGGTACAGTATTTACTAGGCCAAGTTTCAAGCTTAAATTCATGCTCATAATCCCCGCAATCACACAACTTTCGACATCTGATTTTTAAAGCCCTACCACCTCATATTTTTTGCCTTTGGTAAAATTTTCTGTCTCGTTGATACTGTTGATACATTTCACTCTCACATAACTTCGTTAACACAAATCAACAGCAATTTAGGCAGGGTCTCGTTTTCCATTCATCGTATCATTATTGCGAGTTTTTTTTTTGAGAATAATGACGTTTATTGATGAAAATTAACAACTGTATAGAACCAGTGAAGCTAATCAGAAGTGGCTATCATCGACTAATTTAGAGAAACTTTATTATTTGAATTTTTTATGTGGTTACAAATTAGTTTTTAAAATGTGCTCAAAATCTAGGCTTTCTTTCGAAGTCATACTAAAAGCTTATGTGTAAGCTTACATGGGTGTTATCGTCAGGATACATATACTCTCCTAAGTTAGTTTCACAGTCTTTTGCACTCAGTAAAATAGGGAACCTGGAACCACGCTTTCTGTCTTCATGTTTAAGTGTGAAGGGTTTCGGCAATCTCACTTTTGAAGGACTAGTTACATCACTGGTGTCCATACCATTTGATGTCAGAGGCATGTGTATATCAGTGATAAGAACGTTTTGCTTTTCATGTCTTAGATCAGCTGACTTTAACTTGTCATTCTCATGTGACCCTCTTCGATTGAATTTCTCGTAGTCAGTTGGTATATCAGTTAGGCAATTTGATGAAGAGTGGGCAAACTGAGCCTCTTCTTTGGCTTCACGTCTCGACAAATTTGATTTCTCCCTCATTGAAGTACGATGAACAGAAGATGCACTAAAAAAGCACAATAAAAAAATCATTTCCAACTGGGTATTTTGAAGTATGATGGAGATACAAACAGTTGGACGACGTAACATACAACCTTGCGATAAAGCGCATATCTCTAGTTTACCAAAGTTAGCCTACAGAAATAAATGAAGAAGAGGAGAGAAAACAAATGCATAGTGATGAGATGTTCAGGATTTTGATGAAGGTATGGAGGGGAAATACTCCTCTAACATATTGATGCATTTCAAGACATATATTCAGTTTATCCGTAGGAAAAACCCATATGTATGGATTAAGTCTCTGAGTAATTTAAAAGAAGTGCATAACGGAATGAAAATGGTTTACTTTTGATTTCATGGATTTTATGTTTACAGTGCAACCAGAAATTTGATTTTCAGATGGAAATTTGATGGATGATAAATAGACTAATTATCAAATTTAAAGCATACAATTTTTCTTCCATTGAAGATATACCACTCAGAATAATAACGTAAATATTGTTAGTATCAACTGGACTCTGTTTACAGCTAGTCAGCAACATGTATTTGTAAAATGGAAGAATTAATCTGAGTATGTAGCAAGCTGAGTATCTGTCCATACGGCGCTACATTACTGCCACATCTATGGTTGGAGAAATGATGCAAACGTATTATTAGAAATCTGTCTGCGTTTCAGAGTTTTGTGAGGCAATATTTGAATTAGGATAAGAGGACAATAAAATGCAAGTCTTCCAAAAGGATATTGATAGTTTATTCTCACATAACTTTGTCTACTTTCATATCACTTTTTCTATCCATTTGTCGTTTGTTGTATACTGCTGTGAAGCGTGATAACTCGAAGCGATCTACTTGTGTGATGTTCTACCTTGATTCTATCATATTAATTGCAGTAGTCTAGTATAATTAAATAAATACTATTCTTTCCGTTCACGAATTTAAACAGAGCGAGAACAAAACCTTTAGCAGAATAGCAAAATAATAAACAGATTAATTGGAATTTGTTGCGTTTCGCTGAAGTGTTAGCCATTAAACGGTTGCAATCGAACTTGTGCTCAGAAGGAAACATTTATTAGTGGGTGCCTACCATGGTAAAGACTTTTGTTTTATTGATAAACATCATCCTTTTTCAAAAATCGTTCTCGGTTCATACAAGTTGATTTGTTTGTTATTTTACATTTCACACCCCCAACCTTATGACCTTTCACACACTTTGTGTAACCTTCTAAATATGTTAAATATAGTTGTCCCCCACTCTTATCCAACTTCCGCTCTAGGATATAGTCCTTATGCAGTTCGTGTGTTTTCAATTACTTCATATCGACGTTATCATTTTTTCGAGCCGGCAATTTTTTGTCAGGTTGATTCAAATATGCAGACACTGATGCAAATTTGTGTCAAAATTGTTTTAAGTTGTAAGCAGCTGATGAGAAACCTCAAAATAAAATGCGTACATACTATCCTGTCAACGATTTCGTTCTCGCTCTATTTAGACAAGTACTGTCAATATTATTTATTATTTGTCCCTTGGGTTCCTAATGGAACATAGGGCTTCAGTAGCACATCTCCAGTGCACTCTGCTCTCTGCAAACTTTTGAACTTGGCTCCACGACATCCCAGAAGCCCTCATTTCTTCCTCACAAGATCTCCTCTATGTCAGCCTCACCTCGAATGCCCAACTCGTCGTTTCCCATCTGCCTTCCACTCGAGTGCCTGGCCTGCGCGTGATGACCCCAGTCGGCCTTCTCAGTGTATGCCTAACCCAACTCCACTTTCTTCCGCATATCTGTTGTGTGATAGGTTCTTGGTTAGTTCGTCACCAGTCAGAGTTCCTTGTTGCTCATTCTTTCCGACCATCTCCGCTCCACTTCAGTAACGAGCTAGCGTAAGCAGTTGTTGATGAATGTCTGTAGTCTGTTGGAAATGCCTTTCGTAACGCGCCAGATCTCTGAACCATCAAATACAACCACTGACGTCACGTTGGTGTTGAAAATCCGGATCTTGTTCCACATGCTGAGTGCAGTACAGTAGATCCTCACACTGGTTTCAGGTGAATGAACGCCAGTCTCGCTTTTCCGATCCTGGCTTTGACATCTTCATCTGTGCCACCTGTAGTTGAAACAGTGCCGCCTAGGTAAGTGAAAGAGACTACTTCCTTTAAGTTTCTCCCGTTGATAGCGATTGGAGCTTGTTGTTACTGTTGTTGTTGGTTGGGTATCTTCATCATCTCTGTCTTCTCTACGTTTACTTGAAGTCCCGTCTTCGCTGCATCGCCTCTTCTGTCAACTTGTAGATCTTCAAGTTTGTGTGACATTAGACACAAGTCATCGGCGAAATCCAAATCTCCTAGGATCTTTTACCTGGTCCAGCGTATCCCCCTCTTCTCATAGCTCCTCATCGTTTGCTGCATGATCCAGTCCACCACAATCAGGAATATCATTGGTGATAGTAGGCAGCCTTGTCTTACTCCTGTCTTCACTTCAAAGGCATCATTGAGCTTCCCATAATGAATCACTTGGCATGTGGCGTCTTCATATAGATTGATAAGGGTTTGTGGTATTCCATAGTGTGGAAACAGCTGGCAAATTACTTGTCGGTCGACGCTGTCGAAGGCCTTTTCAAAATCGATGAAGTTGATGTAGAGTTGAGTTGACTGCCATTCTATGCTTTGTTCAATGATGATGCGTAGGGTTGCAATTTGATCGGCACATGATTTGTTTTTCCTGAGGCCAGCCAGCCATCCTGTTCCGGTCGTAATTTTGAATGCAGAGCATTTGTAGTCTCTCCAGGATGATGCGGCTTAATATTTTGCTTGCTTTGGGTGGACAGGAGAGTGATTCCGCGTCAGTTCTTTCAAACTCTGAGGTCTCCCTTCTTTGGGAGTTGGACAAGGTAGCCCTTCTTCCAATCAACCGGCAGGTACCTTACCTTCCTTCCAGACCTTCTGCAATAGTGGTGTGAGCATATCCGCCGTTGTCTGTGAGTCTGTTCTCAGTGCTTCTGATGAGATCCTATCTGCTCCTGCTGCTTCCCCGCATTTCAGTAGCTTCATGGCGTTCAAGACTTCGACTTTCGTCGGAGGGCCTGTGTTCACTTGTAGTTCTGTGGCTGGTGGTGGTATTTCTGGATCCAGTGCTCATACACACAGGTTTGTTCAGGGATGTTGCTCGATATCTCCCAGTTTGTCCTGATGACTGACGTGAATACGTCATTTGTAGTTTCGTCCTTTAGTTTCCAGGTGTTGAACTTGAACTTCCTTGAAGGCTTTCAACTTGATTTGTAAGGTTCCTTGCACTAGATGGTGAGTGGTGTGAACCTGCATCTGCTCCTCTTCATGATCTTGTGTCCAGTAGGCTGGCTGCGTCTCCACTTTCTTCAGATTGAAATTAAATCGATCTGGTTTTTAGTCTGTCCATCTGGTGAAATCCATATCGCTTTGTGAATATCCAATCACCTCTAGTCACGGAATCGCTGAGTAAGCAGATTTCTGCAAACAGTTCTCCGTTCTCGTTCATTTCACCGAGTGATTCTCGACCGATGATGAGTTCTCTTCCTGTGTTGTCTGCTCCGAGTTTCGCATTCATGTCACTCCAACCATTAGAATTTTGATGTTGCCAACTGGAGTGGGGTCTTGTCCATTACCGATAGCACTTGTCTATAGAATTCCTCCTTCTTCTCTTCATCTGCATTATTTGTAGGTGCGTAGCGTAGCATTGTATGATTATGACTTTCCTTCCTTTCGATTTGAACCCTGAGGTCATGACCCTGGAGGAGATTGGTTCCCACTGAATGAGGGTCTTCAATGCTCTTGGAGACATCATGATAGCCACTCCGGAACTCAGTGTGCTCGTGGTTGTCGTCTCGGTGACTATGTCGGAGTCGATTATTGACTCTCCAGTTGACAGTTTGGAGAGTCCACTTCCATTCCATCTAGTTTCGCAGATTCCAACACTTCTGTGCCATACCTTCACATCTCTTTTGCAATCTGGGTTGCCTTGCCAGCCAGCTCCAAAGGTTGTGCGGACATTGCATGTCCCCATGTGTGGTTTCGCTTTGATCGAGAGAAGACACATCGGCCGAATGACTTCCCGAAGACTTTCACCAGCCGGCGTCATTTTGTCTTCTCTATTCCAGCGAGTAATAAGTTTATTTTTATTTTTTATATTGTTATGTACTTTAAGTTTCTTTAGCGATTGAAGTTGTTTTTCTGGGTAAGGTTGCTATCCGTATGCCCAACCTTCCCTTTTATCCGCTTTTTGACCGGTTAGTAACTGGTGAACTAGTTAACAGGGCGATGCGGAAGATGATATTTTTTTGATGGGTAGTGATTATTATGCAGCGATCACAGTGGAAACTTGTTTGCTGAACCGGTCATTATTTCTGAATATAGTCAACACGGTATACGGATATAGCATCTCTTAGCAATTCTTAAGTCTGATTGTTCCATGGGAATTTCGATTTATGACTGATTTAATCATATAATGAGCATCTCTTAAAGGTGGTGAGGCTTGAGGTAGCTTTTCTGGGCTTGCTGTATAGTGTACAGTATGTAGTTGCACATGTGACCAAGCTGTTTAAAAGATGCTTTTAAGCAAAGTATTCACATCTAGAGTATTGCAACAGTCCTCACCTGATTAATACATGAAAGACTAGTTTAGGGACATGACGTATAATCTGACAGGTAATTTCGTTTATCTTTAACCGAATAAACAATCCTTTCATCAACCAGATGTCAGTTAAGTGTTTCAGTAGAAAAGTATATATCAAATATATCAGTAAACTACTAATTTGAGTGGTTTAGAGTGGTACTCAGTACCATGAAAAAACCATTAAAACCATCGTTATTTTCAAGTTAATCTCAGGTTGTAATCGCTTGTCTCTAAAACTAGAACTAGACTACGACAGACAAGATCTGTTTTCCTCATAAGACAAATATTTCTGATTGCTGTTTTCATGCGAACTGAAGACTTAACTGCACTGTTCAAGCAGTGTATATCAGTCTTTCAAGTTAAGTAAATACTTTTTTCTCTATTTGATTATATAAACGTTACTCATCAGTCGAAAAACGCAATGTATCATTCCTCTTATTACTAGCAGCCGGACATCGGTGAGTTCTTATAAACACTGAAGAATCTTCAGATGCCTGTTGTTTCAGTTAATTATCTACCAGTAGATAATTCATATCAACTAAGTCGGCCAAATAGTCAAAGAGGGAAAATTAAAAAAGCCATTTATTTTACAGCTAGAGTCGTCAATGGAAATGCAGTCTATCCATCACGAAGGCTGTTAAAAGACCAATGACATCCATAGATATTCGGAGATACTACTGCCTTTTGAGGAAAAAGAAGTTAATTTCTTCCTCTGATGGTTGCTTCAAGTGAGAGTAGGTTGTGTAGATTGAAGAAAATATTCGCTTGAACTGTAAATGCTTTTCATAACTTGCTTTAAATAACGTCCAACTTTATGGGTTTCCAAGAGAAACTGTTATTCATAAAACACATGCGTCTGACAGGAAAGAGATAAAGCGGTTGTTCAATTAAGGTAGTATTTAAACTTGACAGGAGAGAAAGAGGAATTTAAGGACAATGAAAGTAACCAAGTAGTCAACATTATTGAGGTACTTGAATTAAAATATATGACACTGGGATCACTGTAAAATCACTTGATAATCTGTCAATTTATAATTGTGTCTAGTTCACTTATGCGTGTTACTTTCTCCAAATTCGTTTGTTATCTATGTAGTGACATGTGTTGCTAAAATAAACGCAGTTCGTTGGATAACACTACCTCTCGAAACAGATTAGTGTTTCCTTGGCTGCATTGTGTTCTCTGAGCTGGGTTGTTTATTCGTGGAGCTTTCATCGTCTTGCTAGACAACATCATTAGTAATAGCTTCAGTATGAAGTGAGCTGTCAGTATCTCTCCGTGAGTGATTGAGTAGCTTGCCCTGACGAACTGGTTTGTGATCGGTTGTTTCCTTTGATTGTTGTGCCATTGACTTATAGATTTTCTAATTGGCTGTTCCTTTCCTTGACTTCTAACCTTCCTGTCGTTTATAATTTTTCTCATGGGTTGATATATTGGGTCTATGTTTATACTTCTATTGATTGCTGACTGACCTGAATGTCAAGCTTCTAGCAATTCTCTGATATTCGTTGTGTTCCCTCTGTCCAAAATGTCGGCATTGTCAAAATTGAATTCATGTCCATAATTATCCACGTGCATTGAAAAGGGGGATGAAATGTCATGACGTTTAATAGCCGGTTGGTGTTCATGTAGACGAAGGAGAAGAGCGCAACCACTTTGTCCAATGTAGTGTTGACTACAGTTATTGCAGTTGGTTTTGTAAATGATATTCGGTTTATCTTCTTTGGTTGTTGCATCCTTTGATCAGCACAATAGTGTTTGGAGGGAATTTCTTGATTTTTGAGCCACACCAATTCCAAGTGGTCTATTATGCAGACCGAAGGATGCAACATTTCATCACCCATTTCAATGCACGTGGATAATTATGGACATGAATTCAATTTTGACAATGCCGACATTTTGGACAGAGGGAACACAACGAATATCAGAGAATTGCTAGAAGCTTGACATTCAGGTCAGTCAGCAATCAATAGAAGTATAAACATAGACCCAATATATCAACCCATGAGAAAAATTATAAACGACAGGAAGGTTAGAAGTCAAGGAAAGGAACAGCCAATTAGAAAATCTATAAGTCAATGGCACAACAATCAAAGGAAACAACCGATCACAAACCAGTTCGTCAGGGCAAGCTACTCAATCACTCACGGAGAGATACTGACAGCTCACTTCATACTGAAGCTATTACTAATGATGTTGTCTAGCAAGACGATGAAAGCTCCACGAATAAACAATCCAGCTCAGAAAAAGTAATGCTACCAAGACCATCCATCTGGGCTACAAATATTTTTCACCATTTTAAGTTTAGTATTTAGAAGGAGAAAGAGAGACGAGCGGATTAGGTAATATTTTATTGCTGTTTTTGCACCGTGTTCAGCTGGTTGACAGAGGAGGAGGTTGATGATCTGTCATCATCTCTCAGAAATATGAACAGTATGTATACATATAATGACACAGATCATCAACCTGCTACTCTGTTGACGTGTACAGGCCAACTTGAATTATTCTGTTTGTAAATATAATCCTGACTCTAATTTTAGCAGGCATAAGTTTATCACATCCTATGAAAGGCATTTGTAGGGATCTGGATATTTACTGGTTGAACAAAACTTCGAAATGAAGAGGCATTTCGGAATAAAATGTGTATGAGGATGCTCTACATTTGGGGCCTTCATAGCAATCTGGTGTATCAATTTACACCTCCCTGTTAGTTTTATCAAGAGCAACCTGCTAGCTTGTGACTGTACTTTGCCTTTAGTTGTTGCAAATAAAATTGTCAATCTAATCTGAAAAGGTACTCTCTTGAATGCTGGTAGAGATATAACACAAGGAAACAATAAATGAAAATGTAGGTAGTTAGTAAATTTTATAGATTGATTTATAAAGTGGTTGTAACAAACATCAGCAACTTTAATTTAAACTTCAGGTTTGTCTTGAGTCTAAGCGCATTTAAGTAGCATTTATCACATTTTGACCAACAGGAACAGTAGAATTAACGAAACTTAGAAAACGTTATTGATTTGGTTTATCATAAGGTAAAAAGCAATGAAGTATCTACCTTCTTCTACGATGGAGTGGTTTAAGGAGACCATTTGATTCAATGGACCTGATATTTGATCTCAATTTTTCTCTCATATTCCATATTGCGCATACTTCATCATGAGTCTCATCATTATCGCATATTGCTAAAGTGGGACAAACACAAAAAGAAACATTGTTGTTTTTCAGTTCCATATGTTATCTGCTCAGTAATATATATATATATATATATATATATATATATATATATATATATATATATATATATATAATACAAATGCTCTGTATTCAAAATTACGACCGGAACAGGATGGCTGGCTGGCCTCAGGAAAAAACAAATCATGTGCCGATCAAATTGCAACCCTACGCATCATCATTGAACAAAGCATAGAATGGCAGTCAACTCAACTCTACCTCAACTTCATCGATTTTGAAAAGGCCTTCGACAGCGTCAACCGACAAGTAATTTGCCAGCTGTTTCAACACTACGGTTTCAGTGAGACAAACATTTATCAACCTCATCCAACAGCAGCTATATGACGAGATGATGCCACATGCCAAGTGATCCACAATGAAATGCTGAGTGGCGCCTTTGAAGTGAAGACAGAAGTAAGACAAGGTTGCCGCCTACTATCTATCACCTATGATCTTCCGGATCGTGGTCTGCTGGACTGGATCATGCAGCAAACTGTGAAGAGCGAGAAAAGGGGCATACGCTGACTGGAACGATGACAAGACACTGGAAGATTGGGGTTTCGTCGGTCATGGTTTATGTCTAATGTCGCACAAACTCGAAGATCTACAGGCGCTAACTAACAAGTTGACAGAAGAGGCGATGTAGCGAATACGGGATTTCAAGTGAGCGAAGAGAAGACAGAGGTGATGAAAAGACTCAACCAACAACAAGCACCAATCACAATCAAAGGGAGAAACCTAAAGGAAGTTGCCTCTTTCACCTACCTAGGCAGAATCGTCTCAACTACAGGCGACACAGATGAGGATGTCAAAACCAGGATCGCGAAGGCAAGACAGGTCTTCCTTAATCCGAAGTCAGTGTGGAGATCCACTGCACTCCACTACACTCAGCACAAAGCGTCAACAAGATCCGGATTTTCAACACTAATCCAGTCAAGCCAGTGCTACTATATGGTTCAGAAACTCGGCGCATCACGAAAAGCATTTCCAACAAACTACAGACATACATCAACAGCTACAGCCCACGCTCACTCGATACTGACAGTGAAGATCAGATGGCCAGAAAGAATAAACAACAAGGAACTCTGGCTGGCGACGAACCAACCAAGAACCCATCACCCAACAAATATGTAGAAGAAAGTGGAGATGAGTTGGATTGTGCATACACTGAGGAGACCATTTGGGGACATCACACGTCAGGCTAGGCGTTCGAGTGGAATGTAAAGGGGGAAACAACGAGTTGGGCATCCGAGGTGAAGGTGACATGGAGGAGATCATGTGAGGAAGAAATGAAGGCTTCTGGGAAGTGGTGGGGCCAGGTTAAAAAGACTGCAGAGAAGGGAGTGGAATGGCGATGTGCTACCGTTGCCCTATCTTCCACTAGGTACTTAAAAGATAAATTTTTATAAGAACTGAAGTTACAAGTGAAGGAACCCCTTCATAATCCGGTTATTTTCTTGTGAGAAGCCAGGAAAACCATGCAATACATGAAAGACTTTCTGCTTCTGGTATTTGCTCACTATGGCTGACGACGGTGAAGGTCAATAAAATAGTTGGCAGCAAGTTTGATATAGTAATATCCATTGTGCGGTAATTGTGTAGATGCTGCAACCAGTTTATAACCTGGTGTGCTTCGATTTTTATTTTGGCTATCCTAGAGTGATTTGGACTCGCAGCTGCAACGTTTTTTGCACAATATCTTGGAAGGAAGTGGATGAAATAAGCTTAAAAGTTGTTTGTTATGTTTTCTGAAATCGAAAAATAGTCTAAGTTTCCTCTTAGTATATCCAAGAGACCTAGATTCCGAATCTTCTGCGGATTTGCATGTATCATGGAGTCTTCTCTTTCATGTCTTCTGGACGCGTTGAACAGAAAGTGAATACGTTTGTTATGCGTTTCTCAGTTGTCAAATGTAACGTGATTCTCCAGACCTAGTCTGCTGCAAGTACTTCCAGTTTAGTGATATGAAGTGAAGCGGTGGATTGTTTCGACCATTTCACTTACTTGAGAAGTTGTGTCAACACGGGAGGAGCGGTTGCTGACGAAATTTTAGCTGGGATACAGGAGGCCAGTTTCGCATTTACCAACTTGCGTCGTCTGCGGCGCCAACTGGCGAGATGTCCGACTATCTATCAAAGGATGAGTATACTGAGCTGCAGTTCATTCCGTCCTGTTGTACATCTGAGACATAGCCGATAAAAGTAGAAGACATGAGCCAGTTACAGGCTTTTCATCACAGTTGTCTTCATAGCATCGCTCGTATTTGGTGGAATCACCATGTGAGCAATGCTGAAGTCAGGCGGAAGGTAGTAAGCAAGTCGACTGATGAGTTTTTGGAGTTTTATCTACTGAGGTGGCTTGGATATGAGTTGAGTATAGAGAGTAACAGCCTACCTGATGTGCCATGCTGAGAAAGCTGGATTTGTTCGATAGGAGGTTCAGAGTGGCCAGACAAAGTCCTGAATCCAGTCGGTACAGTCCCTAACTGTTGGTTTGAGTTGTGTAGGGAGATGTAGACTCCATGGTTAAGGTCCCCGAGACGAAAGGATTCAGCAGTTGAGAAATATTCGTGACATGTCTGAAAATCGGTCACAATGACGCAGATGTATTCTCTCCTTGACATCTTCTAAAGCTTGAAAATTCACACTAACCTTTATCTTCAGATTGTTTATTCTCTCACACCTCTTTATCTACTTTGATATCACTCTTTTCCTATCCATTTGTTCTTTGTGTGAAGTGTGGCAACTTGGACCGATGCACTTGTGTGTCAGGTTCTACGTTGATTTTGTCACTCAATCAGAAGAGTACTAATATTGTATTATGCTAAAATGTAAACCATCTTTTGAGAGATAATTCACCTACACTTGTGGAAGGTTACGAAGCAAGTGGTAAGTAGAATGATGAACAGGTTCTTCTTCTTAGAAATGGAAATAATTTTATAGGGGTAGTGATTTATTGAATTCGGTTTTCTCAGATGATAGGTATTAGTTAGAAGTGCAGATGATAATAAGCTCTCTATGGTTGAAGGTGAAGGGTTGAATTTCAAATGCGATGATAGCCTCTGCTATTTTATTTATGCACTGATTTTGATGCATATTTCGTGAATATTCCCTTCTTTCTGAAGTTTATAATCATGATGTTGTCCAGAATGACGATGAGCGCTTCATGATTAAACCATCCTTTATGTGTCTAATAAATCTCCGTGAAAAAGTATTTCATTTTGCCTCGTAATTCCAGTCCTTCTTGCTGCTCTTAAATGTATACAATTATTTTGCCACCAAGTTTTACATATTTATTTACTTCTCTGTTATGAGTCTAGATATGTGACTCATTGGCTTAGAAGCTCGACTTCCAAGCAAAAAGCTTTGGGTTCGAGCCAACGAGTAGTCTAATGAACCTTCAGAGGGTCAAATGCGTGAAAATGCGAACAAATTATATGGAGCTATTTAACCACATATACTACTAGAAAGACGAGTGGTATGTGGAACTAGAAGAAATACAAGAGATAGTACATACTTCATAGACGGATTTAAAATGTTATTTGAAACATGAGGATTGAAGAGCTCAAAAAAGTAATAAAGTAACTGACGGAAGTTAAAAAAACGGCAGACAAGTTTAAAATTTATTTCATCAGCATACATTTATTATGGTATCGTTATTCGAAGTAGTTGCTGACTTTTTAAGATTTTGAGTGATGTTGAAGAAACTAAACGAATTATAATTCAGAAAGCTGACAGTGCAATGATGACTATGTTGTCACTTTCACTCTTTAGGTAGGCAGTTTGAGTAGTTAGTTAGCATTTGATAAGAGTTCTGTAGTGGGAGCTGATCAGAATGGACATAAGTAGTATTTGTTGACAGGACGACAGAAATCATAAGTAATTACCAGCAATGGGTACAGATTCTCCCCAGAGAAACGCAAGCAACAATATGGGCGTATCGTATGGACAAATCGAGATAGAAGCAGAAAAGGAAATGAAGCACATTGTGCAAATGACTGTCCTAGTGGAAAGTGTACAATATTTCGTGACTACTGTACAAGACGTCAATAGTAAGCATTCCTTCCTGCGTCTCAGTCTTGACGTTCCCTACAGTACTAGGCTATACTTACATGGTGGTAATTTTGCCGTAAAAGTTTCTGGGTGAAGTAAACCTATGGATATCAAAGACATAGCCTAAGATTTTCTTTGAAAATTCATGTAAATATTATTCAACATTTTTAAAAAAATTATGGTGGATGCAACCATGTCTAGTGGCAAGCAGTATAAGTTATTTACAGCAGTACTGGCTTAGTGTAGACCACTGATGACATGCCAATTGTTCTTATCATGCCCCAAATGTTGAAGCTTACCATTAAACTAATAGATGTAAGCAAATGGCATACTTACTGAAGACTGTTTTCCCATCTGGTGTTGTTAGAGTGAGGTCAGCTCCATAAGACACAAACATTTGACCATTTCAAGCTTCAAATAAAGTGGAATTAAAGTAAGTGTATTTAGTATTAGCAGGAAAAATATTTGATCAAAAAAGAAGTCTTGAATGTCATTGAGGTAAGACTACACAAAACAATTTCAGGTTTCTGGTCACTGACTTCTTTGGAGAATTCCCCTTATTCAAATACAAGATGCTGAGGCTTGAGACTCCTGAAGACGACAGTTGGTTATCACAAATCAGCTTGATGACGTTACTACTCAATTGTTAAGTTCATATGTCGCTGCTGATTCCTGTAAGTCAGTGAAATAATCAGGTTTTTTTAAATATTCAGTTACAGTCTATCGTAATAGGTGTTGTAGACCAAAGGGAGAATCCTATAATTTCGTAACTCATATTCAATTAACATCAGGAACACTATATTGAGTATTTTCATTGCCTAATTATTATTTAACGCTAAGGCTTGTGATCGGGAATTATGAATCATAGTAAGACCAATGCGCCTAAACTAATAGAAAAATGGCTTTTCCAATATTTAGTTTCAAGCATTTACTGGTAGAATACCAAGTTAAGAACAAAGACTACACGATTAATGTATAATCTTACACATACTTTTAACTTGACATCTGACTTTCGTTGTCACACATACAGTGATGAAACCTCATTGTCACTGACAAAAGTTTATCTCCTATCAAACATTTAGCACTATTCGGCTGCATAGGATGCACTTTATTCAGGTTGTTTATTTCAGTAATTTAACGATATTCGTAAGTTGTGGTCGAAATTTTACCTTTGATACGTTTCAGTTACGATAAAGAGTCTGTATATCTTGTGAATTTATGAAATATAGTGACTAAATATGTCTCTTTTTTTAAACGTAGTCCTACTTAAGGTGTTGGGATGTGATTGGATGTTTAATGTATCTTGATGAACGAGTTGTTGCAATAGTTTCCCTATGATGTTATTGGTGTGGTTTTACTGAACAGGTGGATGTGTAAATATTAACGATATATTGAAGTACTGTCTTTACTATGTTAAATGTTAGTTTATAGATGGTTGATCCTACAGGCTAAACATTAAACGTTTCTCAAAATATAGTTTTGAAAGTCATGAATTTACTCTCTGAAATCCCATGAAGTTTCAGGTGGATTTTTTTGCCTGATTTTTGTTTAAACCCATAAAGTCTCCAGTCACACCATTTTTCGAAATGTCCGCAAATGTACAAAATGAAAGATTTAGGTTTAGATTTTAGTAAAACTGAGGACTGAAATAGATGACACTTGTACTTGTGTGCCTTACGCTTGAGATGTGTTCAGCGTTGCTTTGAAGCCTTTGTTGCAGTTTGTGTTCTCTGCAGTGCTTACACTAGATATCCGTAAACGTCTGCCAAACTAATTCTTATAGGTTATAGATTTTCGAGCAATTATTATGGGCCTGACTGTATTCTATATATTGTTTTGCATTACAAATGTCCGGAAATCTTTTTAGCTTAGAGATACTGTAAAAGATAACTGGCAAAAACGAAAGCCTCCTATCAGTGTGCATCTTCGGTCACTTGGGGATAACTGAGACGGCGCTATAATTCATTTACTCTCACCATGGAAGATAAACAAAACTCCCGCACTATTTATTCCGCTTCGTGAAAACAGATCTTTTGGCGCGATAAAAAATTTGACTTTATCGTCGAAATACTTTCGTTAAGTAGAAAGTGAGGAAGAAACCTCTCGGCAGTTAACATCTTTTCAGGTTCGATTCAATATATTTAGCATATTGTTACCTAACTGCTTTAGTGGAACAATTTAATGTCCAAATTAATTACGTATGACTAGAAGTCATTATATTTCTGAAGATATGTTACATACACTGTTAAACGTTCTAAATATTATATAGAGCATTTTCATAATTCAACTTTGCATCCTAAGTTATTAATGTTATCTAGTTACGAGTAATAGCCTTACCACCATTCACCGTTAACACCTATTCATTTGAAGTACTCTTTCAAACATTATTTGAGCGTGATTCTTTTAAAATATTTCTTTCTGAATAAGTCTCTCTCCACTGAATTTTTTACTGCCATAATTGGGAACATCACTTCACAAGGATGCAAATAAAAAGAATGAAATAATAAAAGAAACTGAAAATCGAATGGCTGAATGAACAAGCAATTTGTTAAAAAAAAAATTGTTTCACATGCAAAACAAGACGAGTAATGAGTTCATTCACACTATTTTTTTCAGTTTCACTCATGACACCAAACAATGATATGTGCCGTTTCAAAAATGTCGACTAATTGTCTGATACCTACTTCAACAACGCAGAGCAAGTTATTGGCTTCAATGGTTTGACAACGATGACGCTCATTTTACCTTAATAATGCACCAGAAAACACATCTAAAAAAGAATGTAATACACTATGGAGAAAACGTTATAGCTACCTCATCAACATAGAGTGGACATTATCCAAAACAAACTTCTGAAATTTACCCTTAACAACAAAAATCTCCAACAAGGGTGCACAGTTCTGTGCATGCGTTAATTCTGGGTCATCTGAGTCCCTGTTGCGATCTTCATATTCGGTGTATACTTCTTCTGAACGAATATTAAAGACCACCCCATATACTTATACATAATAACTCAGCTTCAATAAATTTGAATCCTCGATCATTCATATAAAAAATTAACAGTAAATAATAATCAGTATTTTGAAATCGGTACATATTTTACAGATGCATAGATGCACTAATGCATTCTTAGTAAGTAATCCAGAATTTCAGTGAATTATATAAATTGCTGTTCTTGTGTGATTAGTAAAGTATGAACTTAGAGAAGGTAAGAGATTCTTCATTTTAGTTGAAAATTTATCTTAAGAATGTAAGTAATAAATATGAATGGGAGTGCAAAAAAACTAAGCAACATAATAAAATGAAATTATCTTATTTCCTCAGTATATTTAGTCTAAACAACTCCATAAAGTTTGTTCAGTAGGTAGAAAAAGATAGATACATTTTACATGCGATGCTTTTTGTAGCTTTCTCTACGAATTTGACATGAAAATTGGAAATTAAAAGACGTTAAGGCAAACAGAGAATTACATTGAATCAAATTTTGGTGAGTATGATTCGACTAATATATTGCTGAGCGGTTGGTCTCATGATCAGAAGTATAAAGGAGTAAGAATCAGTTAATATAGCTGCAAGTCATATGAAAAACTACCAGTTGCATAATACTATTTAGCAGAAAATTATGACAACGAGAATACTACGGAGATCAGAAAAGCCACTGAAAATAATCTGAGCGTAAATGAAATGTATTTATAAAATCCCAATGAAGTAGAAAAATAAATTTCTGACGTCTCCCAACTTCGTGAAAATCGCTTCTTTAGAAGATAAAACCTGTACAAGTCATCGATTGTTTAAATAGTCAACTCTATCGTGTCGAATATTGTTTACAATAATCTGAATGGTTTGGAAAATGTACAAGATCAAGACGAAATGTGAATAAGTTTTCAAACTATATGAAGGTAATATGAATATGAGGTTGAAAACAACTGTATTTTGATTACAGTCTTTGTGCATTTTGAATTAGAACTGATGTTTTTACTTTTTTAAATTTTTGAAGGCTATAATAACTTCTGCAAAACATGATAAATCGTCATCCAAAGAATGATTTTTAGGCTGCTAAGACGTGACGGCTTGAAACACAGTCAGGAATCTCTTTAGAGATTTAGCATTCTATTCTTCTAATATCTACGCTTCCATATATGTGTTTTCAGTAACAAACTCACTTGGACGTTCAGTGCTTTACTTTCAATGAATTTAAAAGTAAATTTACAGTATGTCTATACAGGCATGATTTATAATCTCTACAGAAGCTAAGGAATGAGCTTTTGGTAAGGTAAGTAAACAACTGAAATTCTTTAGTGCATCTTATTGTTCGCCTGGTTAACTAGTTCATCAGTTACTAGCCGGGTAAAGAAGGAAGGTTGGGCATACGGATAGCAACCTTACCCAGTAAAACCAATCCTAGCTGGAATCGGAGAGATGAGATGACGCCGGCTGGTGAAAGTCTTCGGGAAGTCATTCGGCCGATGTGTCTTTTCTCGATCAAAGCGAAACCACACATGGGGACATGCAATGTCCGCACAACCTTTGGAGCTGGCTGGCAAGGCAACCCAGATTGCAAAAGAGATGTGAAGGTATGGCACAGAAGTGTTGGGAATCTGCGAAACTAGATGGAATGGAAGTGGACTCTCCAAACTGTCAACTGGAGAGTCAATAATCGACTCCGACATAGTCACCGAGACGACAACCACGAGCACACTGAGTTCCGGAGTGGCTATCATGATGTCTCCAAGAGCATTGAAGACCCTCATTCAGTGGGAACCAATCTCCTCCAGGGTCATGACCTCAGGGTTCAAATCGAAAGGAAGGAAAGTCATAATCATACAATGCTACGCTACGCACCTACAAATAATGCAGATGAAGAGAAGAAGGAGGAATTCTATAGACAAGTGCTATCGGTAATGGACAAGACCCCACTCCAGTTGGCAACATCAAAATTCTAATGGTTGGAGTGACATGAATGCGAAACTCGGAGCAGACAACACAGGAAGAGAACTCATCATCGGTCGAGAATCACTCGGTGAAATGAACGAGAACGGAGAACTGTTTGCAGAAATCTGCTTACTCAGCGATTCCGTGACTAGAGGTGATTGGATATTCACAAAGCGATATGGATTTCACCAGATGGACAGACTAAAAACCAGATCGATTTAATTTCAATCTGAAGAAAGTGGAGACGCAGCCAGCCTACTGGACACAAGATCATGAAGAGGAGCAGATGCAGGTTCACACCACTCACCATCTAGTGCAAGGAACCTCACAAATCAAGTTGAAAGCCTTCAAACAAGCTGGTAATAGACGACCACAGTCCAAGCTCAACGCCCGGAACAGAAACTGAAGGAGGAGACTTCAAAGAACATATTCACGTCAGTCCTCAGGACAAAATGAGACATTAAGCAACACCCCCAAGT